GGGGATTGAACCGCGGTCCCTGTGTTTTGTTTAGCTTAGCTTGTTCTAAGTAGGTGTTTTAGACCACTGAGCCATCTCACCAGTTCACTAAGCTTGTTCTAAGTAGGTGCTTTAGACCTCTGAGCCATCTCACCAGCCCCTAAAATTTGTTTTAAATTGACAAATAGAAATTATGCTTATTTATCATGTATAAGACATTAGAATTTGAACACATGTAACACTGCCTTTACTGAGTTCACACTGTTAGCTTTTTGGGCACAGCACTTAGGACCCAAGTTAAATGAATTTTGTTATAGTTCATGAAGGACCATGTTATGCTCAAATGATATTATTCATTACTTGTTTTTTTTTTTTTTTTTTTTTTGCGGAACCGGGGATTGAACCCAGGCCCTTGTGCTTGCCAGGGAAGCACTTATTCTACTGAGCCATCTCCCCAGCCCCCTCATTACTTGTTTATGACCTTATACTTTTCTTTTTTTTTTTTTTAGGAACCAGGGATTGAACTCAGGCCCTTTCTCTTGCCAGGGAAGCGCTTATTCTACTGAGCCATCTCCCCGGCCCAAAGGATTTTTTTTTTGCGCCCTCCTCCCCCTCAGGATGCCTTCAGGGCAGATCTGGTTTGGCTTGAGGATGAGGGGGTCCTGAGCCTCAGTGCTTTGTTTCAGCAGGCACTTAAACATCTGAGCTAATGGGCAGGCCCCCTACCTTTCTTATAGCCTGTGAAAACTAAGAGTCAGCAAGGCCTAATTAAGAAGAGTTTTTATGTTTTGTAAGGCCTAATTAAGAAGAGTTTTTATGTTTTTAAGTGGCTGAAAAAAATCAAGATATTATTTAATGACATGTGAAAACCATTCAATTCAAAATTCAGTATCCTGGGGCTGGTGAGATGGGTCAGTGGTCTAAAGCACCTACTTAGAACAAGCTTAGCAAAGCACAGGGACCACAGTTCAATCCCCCAGCACCACATGCCAGTCAGGCCCACCCCCTTGTGGGCTGAGCTGGCCACACACACACATAAATAAATAAAGATACTAAAAAACAACAACAGGGCTGGTGAGATGGCTCAGTGGTCTAAAGCACCTACTTAGAACAAGCTTAGCAAAGCACAGGGACCGCGGTTCAATCCCCCAGCACCACATGCCAGCCAGCCCCGCCCCCTGGTGGGCTGAGCTGGCCACACACACACACACAAATAAAATTAAAAAAATAAATAAAATAAAAATTTCTTTAAAAAAAAATAAAAACAACAACAACAACAACAAAATTCAGTCTCCACATAGAGTTTTATGAGAAGACAGTGCCCTTAGGGTTACGTTTGTCTCTGGTTGCTTTCCCTTGAGAGCTGATAAGCACTGCAACACAGTTGGCCTAGCCTAAATCACTTACTGTTGGGCCCTTCACAGGGAAAGTTTGCTGCCTCCGTATAAAGAGTCCTGAGGGAAAAGAAACTTAGCTAGAGGCCTAAGCTGCGGACCTCCCCAGCCTGGGTTGCGAGAGGGCGCTCCGTGCTCCTGACTTCTCTTCATGATAGCCCAGGACATCATTTGTATGCCCCTTGGATTTCAGTAGGTCAGACCTATAGGCCACTTTCTTGCCACTCCAGTGTAGAAACTAAGCTGATTAAAGTAGTTTGTTAGAGTATAATGTGCTTGGAGTATGAAGTAGAAAATTATAAAAATAACAAGTTTATCTAAAATGCTTTGGTTTCCATTTGTTATAGGAGAGGACCTCTCCCAGTTCCTAAAAGTTTACCAGGTATGCCATCAAGAAAAGCCTTTTAAAATTTCTATGTCAGACTTTCTTTAGGATTGAAGAGCTAGAATTTTGAAATAAGGGAAACAAAAAGATTAAATTGAATCAAATTCCCAAGAGAATAAACCCAAGTTAGAATTTTACTATATATGGTTTGATAGACTGAAATTTGATAACTGGTCTATATTATAGCTTATCCAAGAGAATTCAGCTTCTAAAGTACCAAAATAAACTTATTATAAGACAGTCTTTTTTTTTTTTTGGCAGAATCAGGGATTGAACTCAGGCCCTTGCGCTTGCCAGGGAAGCATTTATTCCACTGAGCCATCTCCCCGGCCCCCATAAGACCGTCTTAACAAAGATTAAGTCACTCTGCTCCTCCTCCCAGGCCCAAATCCTGTGCTACCTCTGGTAGAAACCACACATTTTAGCATCTTTTGTTACTTGTATTTCTTGGATAATTACAAGATCCTTGAGGGCAGACACTGTCTTTTCTTATGTCCCTCTCAACACCTAACAGTACTAGGCACAGAGTATGTGTCAAAAAATATTTACTTTTAACAGAAAAAAAAGTTCACCTCTCTACCTTCAAAGGAATGAGAGAAGAGGACATCTTGTGCTATATTTGGCAGTTCAGTAAATATGTAATGACCAATAGAAAATTTAGTGACTGAAATGTTACCTTTGAATAATATGATACTTTATTTCTTGTTACATTATTACTACTTAATATGTGAGACTTCATTTTTATTCAAGTTTGAAGATTATTTTATTGTGGATGCTAATATCTGTGCTTGGAAGAAAAATGGCAAAGTCATTATAGTAATCTGCAGAATGTTCTTTGGAGCCAGGCATGGTAGTGCAGGCCTTCTATAACCCCAGCATTTGGGAGGCTGAGGATCAGCTGAGGATCACTTCGAGTTCATGGCCAGCCTGTACTACGTAGGGAGACTCTCTCAAAACAACAGCAAAAAAACAAGAACAAAACCAAAACCAAAAAACCCACCCCCAAAACCAGAATGTTCTTTGGTTTGTAGTTATGACTACCAATCATATGTTTTGTTATCAGGTATATTTTCTCCTTTTGAAAGAACAGCCACCTGATATTTAAGTGCAGTACATTGACTAGAGAAGAGCTAAGATCTTATTATGAAAAAATAGTAGTCTAAACTTGTTCTAATGTTTTGCTCTTTGTAGATGATCCTGATTATTCTTTGGTTTCTGACTACAGTTTGCTCTATCAGTAATACCAGAGGTAAGAACCTTTAATCTTCACACAGTCAAGTTGAACTAGGACTGGTTATTGTGTTTCCGCAGGCACTGAAGCTTCATTAGGTCACCACCACCAAGAAGCCAGCCTTTGCATCAGGCCAGCACCTGGTGGATGTGGTGTCCCTTCAGGCTGGCCTATGTAGAAGCTGACTGAAACCACTCTGCACATTTAAATGAAGGCATTTCCCTTCTATTAAGTATCTTCTGACTCTGCTCTTGTTAAGCCTTTTGCAGCTACTAAAAATTTACATTTAGGCCTGCTCACAAGCAAAACATGTATGATAACCCCCATTATTGAATCATTTAGTCTTTTGAGTATCCCTACCTTCTCCTAAAAGGGGGAAGTCTAGTGAAAACAACGTAGATGTAACACTCACCAAGCACAGCACCATGGGGATCAACCTGTAACAAATTATTACTACTCCAAACTAGCAAAGCACAAAGATGCTCTGAAGAGAACTGAATACTACTAAGCCAACCAGTGCTGCGAAGATGACCCACATAGCAGCTGGTTCTCTTGGCTCTTAGATGCTTGGAACATGCCCCAAGTCAACATCTGTCTTAACAAACATGAAGGAATGCCTCAGTAGCCAAATAGCAGTACTAAGTGAAGCTGCTTATGAAGCATAAAGACTTAAAAAAAAAAAAAAGAAAAAGAAAAAACCCAAACAGGTGTATCCTGGGGTAAAATTACATAGGCATATATGACTAAAGAAAAAAAAAATCTAAAAGGATGTATTCTTGAACAGGTAACATTTCTTTTTGTTTATCCTGTCCTGTTTCTGAGTTTGTCCATAATAAGAATGTTCCACTTCTTTGACTAAAAACTGAGTTGGTCCCTTTCCATTTCCCGGATTGTAGGTGTTCCTGGAAGTGAGCAGAAGTGGGTAGACTACATACAGGACGTCATAGGGGAACTGCAGCAGCTTCTCTGTCACCTTTCCTGATTTGGTATTGGTGACATTTACTATCAGTTATAAAACAAAACAGGATTAAAGCACCTGCAAGCAGGCGCAGAGGCCAGATGTTTGATGCCCCTGGCCTGCCATGTGGGCTGTAAACAGGCTGATCAGATCTAGTAGGGAGACCCTGAACACGCTGTAGACCCTTCCCTAAAATACAACAAACAAACAAACAAAAAAACCAGGTTTATCTCATGGTGATTTCCTGCAGTTTTATCCACTGAACACTACTTGGAGGTTAGCCCTAGGAATTTGCTTCAGTCCTCGGAAAGATCCTACTTTGTGTGTGTTGTGGGGGTTGCACATGCCTGTAATCTGAGGATTGTGGGAGTTGAGGATTGTAGTTCAGGCTGGCCTTGAATTGAACTCACGATGATGCCCCATCTCAGTCTCCTGAGCACTGGGATTATAGTCATGAGCCAGCACGCCCAGCTTGAGAAGTCCTATTTTGTGTCTTTAGTACTATCCAAACCACCTCAAGTGTCCTGAAGTAATACAGTACTTTACCTTTCCTGGTCATTTTGCCTTTGGGGAAGAGCCAGAAGTCTCAGATCCAGTGAATAAGATAAATGACTATACATGGAAGCGTTTTTTATGAACCTGCCTTTTCCTTGGATGGCACTCAGCAGGAGCACTCACTGCATCTGTTTTTTATCAGACCTCATCAAGATGCTGATCACTACATAGTTATTTGGGTTCTTTCTGAAGTCTGATTATAATATCTGTGTCAGTGCAATTGCTAGGCACTTAACACATACATGTATAATTGGCTGAGTTTTAGAAAACAAAAAGGAAGCTTAGTTTAGTTAATAGCAACTTACTATAATATTTAAAATTGCCTGGATGTAACTTTTTTTTTTTTTTTTTT